TGATAATGCTGACTGAGGGAAAAGAGAATGAAAGATTATGTGAATGGAAATGTATAATGTGTTCAGCCTGACTAGATATCCTGGGAGATGGTGGACGGACCGGGTCCGTAGGAAACCCTACCGGGATTGTGGTCTCCCATACCGGACGGGGTATGGAGATCTTATGTGTTTTGGCGCCCATACCGGACGGGATATGGGGACGGCCCGTTTCCCCCTCATACCGGACGGGGTAATGAGGTCTATGGTTTGGCGCCCACACCGGACGGGGTATGGGGACGGCCCTGGAATATGATTTCAAGTGTTAAGGATTAACGGGTAGCGGGACCCCTATGGATCCCCATGGATACTAGTGGGCTGGTGAATTAGGAAAATATGTTGTATAACGATTGAATTACGAAAAGTGTGATAGGTATTATGTTATACAGTTCGTATATATGTTTCCATGATGATGATGATGTTATTGCTTTCGTATATTGTTTTATGAATTTCACCGAGGTAGGTAAATGGCAAAGGTTTTATTATCGATAAAAGGATTTGTTGTAAATTATGCTCCATTGGTCTTTTTATGTTTTCTACCCACCTTTACCTCCGTGACGGTGAGATATCGTGATGTCCTTACTGAGCTAGTGTAGCTCATTCCTTATTTAATCATTTCAGATCAAGAGGACATCGTTCCCGAGCCGGTTCCGCAGGAGGACGACGAATGGGACGCCTAAAGACTCCATAGTCACATTCGTAGTTTTTACTTTCAAGTTTCTCCTTTAGGTAGTTTAATCTTTTATATTTCGTGAGCACGTTTTAGTTTTAGTGTAAGGGATGTTATTCAAATTTTGACTTCGCTTCTGCATTTGATATTTATAATATAAATTCCATTATGAATTACTGGGGCTGTTACAGATTTAGTCTTCGTAAAATTTTCAATTAGCGTTTTTTAGTTTTTATATAATTTATTGTTATTTTTTTCATTTAATTATTCTAATTGGACAACAGGATAAATTAAACAGTTAATAAAAATTTATAAACTAATTATACCTAGAAGATTTTAATTTTAGAAGAATGTTTAGTGGATGCAATTATGAAAATTTTTAATTATACATTTAAAATTTGTCTGGAAAAAAAAAAAAACATACTAGTTTAATTGACATAGAATTTTTTTTTTTTTTTTATGTTGAGAAGAAGCAATTTCATTAAAATCATGCAAGCAAATCAGCTATATCCACATATACATCCTCCCAAACATAAAAGTACGGGTGGGAGCGAGCTGCCTACGCAATATTGTGTGCACTAACATTAGCTTGTCTAAAGACCCATCTTATGGACACATTAGGTCTAAAGGAAATGAGCATCTTGCAATCCTCCATGATGAACCCTAACTCAAAGTTATCGTCACTGTTTGCTAACAAAGCATTACAGTTTTTTTACGTATCCAACTCAACGATACCGGGTTGGAGTATATATATTGCAAAATATTGTCGCACCCTAATAACTCCGCTAGATGGGAGACCAGCACCCTTGCAGTCTATCAGAAAGCATCTTCAACACTCTCTTAAAGAGTCATGCACAATAGCCACATATCTTGCATCTGCACAATTTTGGAATATTGTCTCATTCACATTACATTTTTAGACTTTAGAATGAGTCGCTTGTCAATGTATGATACGAGTGGTTGTTTACTGATAGGATAGTTGATTTCTATTTTTAAACTCCTGAACACTTCTCTATTCTTGCAGAAATTTCAGTACAAGGAACACGGAGGTCTAGTCCGTATAGATTTTTTCGACCCACAGTGTCTCATTTCTCTCTTATTGGAGGCTCCACATGTAACAGAAGATCTACTCAATAACACTCCTCGGCTTGGTTTGAACTTGACACTCCAATCACTCAGCCAATGTATCAGCACTAAGGATTAGTCGTGATACATCCAATTGTTTCCAACAACCCTTTACTTTCACACACTCCAGAAAGACGTGTGATAAGGATTGTTCCTGACTGCACCTCTTACAAGTTGTCTTAATGGCTGTACCCTTCTCTAACAGTTCGATTTTCACTAGTAAGATGTTGTTCAGGAAGCGCCAAACAAACTTTTTTACGTTCGGCAGGATTTTCACATTCCATGCATATTTCCACAAATTCCTTGGCTCTCTCATAGAATTATATAAGGTTCCACCATAACACGATATGTTGTCTTCATTGTGTACTTTACATTCTCTAAAAGCATCCAAACCCGTTTATCATGTCTTCCTCTTAGGCTCAACAGGATACTCAACACAAGATTAACTTCTTCTTCCACTAAAATACTCCGGACTAAATTGACATTGTAGGTCTATTCCCTTTTGTCCATGAGATCCTAAACTGTCATATTCTCCAAGCCAGCCACCAATGGACTGCAAAACCAGTACCTCTTTATGCGGTAACTAAAAATCTGACTATATTTTTATTTAATAATCTATCCCAATTAATAAAAAATTTTATTATCTAAATATAATTTTAATAAACTTTGATTAAACAAATAAGAAATCAGTGAAACTTTTAATTATAAAATGATAATAATTTTATCAAAATTTGTCTTTTTGGTAGAGTCGGTGGCAATCAAACATCAGCACTATCTTCCTCATTGAACGATCAAGCTCCCTCCTTTCACCTTACAGGACCAAATACTTGTCCCAAACATGCTGCAGCTCCGCCTGAAGATCACACAACTCCACCCAATCAACCCTGTTCGTTTGTTCTCCACGCTTGATCTTTCTACCGCCGATCCCTCCTCCCCACTTCTCCAATTGTACACCGTCACGCCTCCAATCAAACCCTGGCCCCGGCGCCTCTACCCCAAGCGCCTTGTCTCCATGATCTCCCGCCAGCAAAATCTCGATCTTGCACTTCAAATCTTCCTCTATGCCGGAAAATTCCACCCCGGATTTTCCCATAATTATGACACTTACCACTCCATTATCCTCAAGCTCTCTCGCGCCCGCGCTTTTCAGCCCATGGAATCTCTCCTCTCCCAACTCCAGAGTGACCGACAAATCACTTGTGGTGAAAATTTATTCATTGCCGTAATTCGCTACTATGGGCTAGCAGGTCGCCCTCGATTGGCTCTCAAAACATTCTTGCGAATCCAAAACTTCGGTGTTCAGCGTTCAGTGAGATCACTAAACACATTGTTGAACGCTTTGGTTCAGAACAAGAGATACGATTTGGTTCACGTTATGTTTAGGAGCTGCAAAGATAAGTTCAATGTTGTACCCAATGTGTTCACTTGTAATATTTTGCTCAAGGCTCTGTGCAAGAAAAACGACGTCGAAGGTGCCCTCAAAGTGTTAGACGAAATGCCAACGATGTCAATGGTGCCAAACCTTGTTAGTTACACCACGATTCTCGGTGGGTATGTTGCAAGAGGCGACATGGAAGGTGCTAAGAGGATTTTTAGGGAGGTTTTTGATCGAGGTTGGCTGCCTGATGCGACAATATATACGGTTTTGATGGATGGGTATTGTAAGCTAGGGAGATTCGTTCATGCAGTTAGGGTAATGGATGATATGGAGGAGAATGGTGTTGAGCCAAATGAAGTCACTTATGGAGTCATGATTGAAGCTCTTTGCAAGGAAAAGAAATCCGGTGAAGCCTGCAACATGATGAACGATATGCTTGAGAAGAAATGTATACCAAGTTCCACGCTTTGTTGTAAGGTGATTGATGCATTGTGTGAAGACGGGAAGGTGGAGGATGCTTGTGGGTTGTGGAGGAGAATGTTGAAGAAAAATTGCATGCCTGATAACGCCATCTTGAGCTCACTCATACACTGGCTTTGTAAAGAGGGGGATGTTTGGGAGGCTAGGAAGTTGTTTGATGAGTTTGAGAAGAGTTCTATTCCAAGTCTTTTGACCTATAATACATTAATTGCAGGAATGTGTGAGAGAGGAGAATTGAGTGAAGCAGGGAAGTTGTGGGATGACATGGTGGAGAAAAGCTGTGCTCCTAATGCATTCACATATAACATGTTCATTAAGGGATTTTGTAAGATCGGAAACGTGAAGGAAGGCATTAAGATTTTAGAGGAGATGTTAGATAAAGGATGTATTCCAGACAAGTGGACATACTCTTTGTTGATCGATGGCTTGTGTAAGTTGGGGAAAGAAGGAGACGTCACTAAGGTTATTTCACTGGCAATGTCAAGTAGACAAGTTGATAGGGAGTCCTGGAATCTTTTCTTTACCAAGGCTGTCGGAAAGCTGGATACTGGGGTGGGCATTTTTGATGAATTATTGTTGGAACACGCTGCTGCTTAAAGACCTGTGGCCTTCATAGCTTTAGACCATGCAGAGGACTGAAACTTAGATGTGAATTTTAAGAGGATTAATTCCTAAGAGGCTATTGGTTGTCCTTTGGAAAGGGGTGCATGAGTGAAACATCTCCGAGGTGTCCTTCAATTCATGGGGTCTGATTAGCCACAGAGTTCACGTTGCGAGGACTAAAGTCCTGAATTTCTGGGTCTCTTTAGGAGGATGGCTTTGATTTGTGACCATCTATGGCTAAATAAGAGAAAATTACAAGCCCCAAGAAGTGCCATATTATCGGTTTGAACAGTAAATTTTCCCAGTTGCCTTTGAGAAGGCCATAACACATTCTGTAGCTCCGTGCATGATTTTGTCATCTTGAATAGTGCAGTGCATAAGTTTAGGATCTGGAGTTATTATTTCAGATATTGTTGTAGAGCACAGCCAGATGATTACTTCATATTCGGAGAACAAGGACTATTATTTTCACAAGTTAATAACAGAAGCAAAATCTGCAAATTAGCTATTTCTAGAAACAGACTATGTAGATTACCTTCTAACCAGGTGCCAGACTCCCACATTTTCTGAAGCGTGAGAGGACTAGCCCTTCATTTCAGCATTAAAAAAGGACATATCTCATCTGGGAAGCTAAAGAGTGCTGATTAATTCTCTGATTGGCAGCTGATCAAGTATTCACTCTGGTGTACGACTGTTGCAGTCCAGTATTCTGTACCTGAGATTATGTAAATTATATTTATGCTTTTGTTGTATAGACTTTAGATATTATTGCTGGGTGAAACACTAGTAGAGAATCTGCCTTAAACCATTATTTTTTGTCAGAATCAAATTCTTTGCTATTGTCTATGTCACTTTGATAACATCTGTGTGGAAGATTTTCTTTGAGAATTCAACATCTTGTCAAAATATAGTATGGAACTTTTGTCCTCTGTGTATGAAAAATATTTGATTGTTCAGTAGTGCTTGGTGCATTCTTGAAATTGGAGGTAAAGCGTGACTCTCCGAAAACTTTCATGCTTATTTTGTAACGTGAATTACTATTTATTTGAATTTTAAAATCGTTTAAACTCTTTAATGTTTTATATTTTAATTTTTGAATAAATTTCGTATTTCGTATTTTATTTAATTTAAATAATTATTAAAATTATTTATTTTATTTTTTCATAGGTAATTTATATTTTAAATTGATTAAAAATTTCAGAAAAAAAACGAAAGAAAAAAGGTAGAAAATGCCCGCCGGAAGGATCCTGCCCGTGCGCCGCACGCGTGCGCGTGCGCGCCCGCGGCCAGCACAAGATGTGCTCATTGTGTGCATGTCTCATCCGCACAGGGCACGAGGCATGGTCTGCATGCGCTTTCCATCACGCACAGTGCACACGCAGACCAGCACGGTTTCCACAGAGTAGGCCTGCGCACGGTAGGCTTGTGCGCGTGGCAGGTTGGGGCAGTGTGCGCTGCCTTGAGCAGTGTGCGCTGCCCCCTTGGGTGTCGTGCGCCGCTGGTTGGGCGGCGAGCCGCTGCTGGCTTAGGTGACGTGTTGCCATCACTTGGGCGACGTGTCGCTGTAATTCGAGTGGCGTGCCTCTAGTTTTCACGCTGCCGTTACGTGTCGCTATCCATCAGTCGTCACATCTCATCATTTTACCTTAACTTTCTCTCTCTTCATCACATCTCATCTACTTTTTTATAAAATAGGGACTGTCATTTCACTATTTCCTCATCACCTCTACTTCATTTTTCTATCCAGCTAAAAGTTTGAGAGAGAGAGAGGGAGTGATCTAGAAAGAGAGGGAGAGGAAAAGAATAAGAAAAAGTACAAGAGACGTCAAAATTTTGGTAAAGAATTTAATATTTATCTTTAAACATTTTAATAAATATTTTTTAATTAAAATTAACGAAATTTAAATTAAATGGTTGTATGATTTAATTTATATGCTTAAAAAATGATTATGTGTTAATACATATTATATGAACGTATATAAATTGATTATTCACATGTTTAATTGAATGATTAAATGCTTGTGATAAATGTTGATGCATGATATATTGTATGATGATGAAGTAATAAAGCATGAAATAATGTTTAAGCATAAGAAATATGTTTTGGTATCAACATGTATGATTTATAAAATGTTTCATTAGACTTTATTTTTGAGAGATTTCTGTTTCTCTCCCATCTGGTATGAAAAGACATAAGATGACCGCTCCCTATTGATGACAGTATATCCTTTGAGAGTGGTGACGCGATATGATTGTAGGAGTTACCTTTGGCGAAGTATGGTCATGGTCATAGTTTACATGTAGGACCACTGTAGTTGGCACGACTATGATCATAAATCATGTCATAGTTTGTCAAGTCGTAAATATATTATTGGTTTGGCACACCACAAATTGTTGTTATAACATGAATTGAATTGGTTATTACACATGGGTAGTCAGGAATCCATAATTGTCTTCAGTAGATTGAAGACGGAACGACTTCGCGCGAAAAATAAAATGAAAAATAATGCATATTATTACTTGTTTGATTTTCTCTATTTTTAGCATGATTGATTTGATTAACATTATATCACTTTAACTATATATTTTTTTATTAAATTAAATTAATTTCATAATCAATAAAGAATTCTAACATAATTCTTGATGGTAAATAACGATGGTATTTTTAATTACCTTTGAAATCTTATTATATTATTTAAATATTATTTTTCTTACTGATTTTATGGAACTTATTCATTTTTATGTTCTCTTCCAGATTAGGAAGATAATGAGAAATCAATCACCGATCTAACTCTTGAAATTTTGAGGATCCCGTAGATCTATGAATTTTTATGAGTGCATAATTGTCTTGCAATCTGATGAGTTCATCTTTTGTAGAGACTTGTAATTAATTTTGTTTTTACCTTAGTATTATATAGAACTCTATTATTATTTTATAAAAGATTGTAATTATTTATTCTGTTACATACATTTATCTATTATGCACTCGTAATCCGTTTCTGCATCTTACACCTTTATAGACTAATTAATATTTTAGATGTCACAAAAAGCTTACATTGTTTGCAGATATTTGCTTCACTACCACTACCGGTATAAATATGGAGGTAATGTTTCTGGATTAAGGATATCTCCCTTTTTGTTGGAATTTGTGATTTGTGGGATGACAATTCCAATTCATTAGCTCTTAAGCTCTCTAGACTGTAGTCTTCTATTTGTGGAATGCTTTTGCATCATTTTGGCAAAAAAGGGGATAAGGGAACTGTAGTGACAGGCTGATATCAGAAGGACAAATCAAATGGGTCGGGTGACAAAAAAAGATACTCATTGAGAGAAAAGGGGAAATGGAAGATGGAGACTGATATCGCTGGGGGCCCATTAGCTAGCTTGGACCTGGGTCTCAGTGTTAACCCGATCTGGGGCGATTCTTCGAGCATTAATAATGTGGAAGTGAGTAAGGAATTGGTCCCAACTGAAAGCAGAAAAAACATTCTTTCTTAGTTAGGGTTTGTCGAAGAGAAATTGGCTGATGGTCGAGAAGAGAGGTCGCGAAGATGAGTGCTTGGAGTTGAGAGAAAGAGAAGAAGAAGATGCATGCTCTGTTTTCTCCACAAGGGAGGTGTTCGAAGGGGATAGGCAAAAGGATATGGACCTGTTGTGCGACGAGCTTGATTTCCCGATGGAAACCAGGGACCTTATGGTAGTTAAAACAAATGTAACTTTTTTAGACTCAAGGCAAGACTGATTTTGAAGAGATCATTCAACTGAATCTGGAGGGAGCCAACAGAGACTCGGGAGGCGAAGTATTGTTCGCAGTGGGTTCTCAACAACGTGAACAAATTCAGTAAGAAAATGAGCATCTCCTTTGAAGGCATGGAAAACTTAACTTACTTCTTCTCTGAAATAGGAAAAAAACAAAGAAAGTTTCCTCATGTAATGTTGGGATTGCTTAAAAGGAGAAAATGAGAGTGAGAAGTGGTACCCCTAGGGAGCTAAAACGACTGAAGTCCTCCAGAAATTATGAAGGGAAAAAAAAGAGGGTATGACAACAGTAGGGATCAGGATGATTTGTGAATGATTGGGAACATTGTGTCCTGGAACGTCCGCAGGACAAATAATAAAGACAAGAGGCTTGTCATCAATGGATGTCTGAAAAAATGGATGCCTTCTTTAGTGTGTATGCAAGAAACGAAAATGGAAGACCATGTTGCAGAGAAGTGTAAGAGTATATGGTGCAATAAAAATTCGGATTTGCATGTTATTCCGGCCAAAGGGTCTACTGGGGGGATGATTACATGTTGGAAGAAAGATTGGTTCAGTTGTCTGGATGTATTTAAAGGTGAATGTACTTTGTCTTGCATCTTCAAGAACTGAAAAGAGGACACTGAACGGATATTCATCGGGGTTTATTACAGAGGCAGTGAAGAGGAGAAATTAATTTTGTCGGATGAATCTAAAAAATGCAAAATCAGATGGGGTGGTAGGTGGATTATTGGAGGAGACTTTAACATGACTTTGAGAAGGGAGGAGAGGAATTGTAACTGTTTTTCAGTTTCAGAGGCAGCTGAATTCAAGGAAATTATGGACATGATTGATGTAGTTGATTTATCGTTGGCTAAAGGGCAGTGCACATGATCTAACCACAAGAGCACGTACAGAATTGATAGATTCTTTGTTTCCTCTAATTTTCTGTTGGAATTGTCCAATATAAGCCAAAAAAACTCTACCCCGTACCACATGTGATCACTTTTCCATGTGCCTGGAGGCCGAGGGAATTCAATGGGATCCAGTACCGTTTTGGTTAGACAACAAATAGCTGAAAAAGAATAATTTCCGAGAACTAGTGGAAAACTCTTGAAAAACGTGCGAGGTTCAGGGGTGTGCCAGCTTCAAACTAGCCTATAAACTCAGGAATTTGAAGGCTGTTATCAGAGCATACGCTAAAGAGGAGCGGAAGAATGAGAAGAGCGGTTTGAGACTACAGTGGCCGAAATTAATTTACTGGACTCAGAAGAGGTAGAAAAAGTATTGAATGATGAGGAGAGAATTATGACGGGTAATTTAAAGCTACAGCTTGCTGCTTATTTGAAGGAAGAGGACATGATGTGGAGACAGAAGTAAAGGGAAAAGTGGCTGGCGGATGGTGACCAGAATACAAATATTTCCATGCTTTGGCGTCCCATTACCGCAGAATTAATTACATTGAGGAAATTGTCACCGAAAACAAGAAAATTGGGGGAAATCCGGATTTAAGAGAGGCTGCCAAGGAGTATTTTTAAAATCTGTACAAGAAAATTCTTGTTTGCATACCAAAGTTGGATGGGTTGCCATTTAACAAAATTTCTGAAGACAGCAGACAGCTTCTGGAAGCTGAGTTTAGTGCAAAAGATACTTAGAGGGATTAACGGCGTATGATGGTAATAAAGCCCCTTGGCCCGATGGTTTTAGTCTGAATTTCTTTCAAACTTTTTGACTTTTGCTGAAAGAGGATGTTGTGGCTATTTTCAAAGATCTATATTCTCAAGGCAAGTTTAAATCCTTTAACACTACTTTTATCACCTTTATTCTCAAGAAAATTGGCGTCAATGAATTTAAAGATTTTAGGCCTATAAGCTTGGTTGGGTACATTTATAAGCTCATCGCCAAGGTGTTGGCTAGGAGACTAGTTAAAGTGTTGGGACAAGTGATTGGGGACAGCCAACATGTCTTTGTTGGGGGAAGACTGATTCTTGATGCAGTAATGGTTGCAAATGAAACAGTTGATGACTTGATGACCAACAAAAAAGATGTCTTGGTGTGTAAACTTGACATGAAAAAAGCTTATGATTATGTGAATTGGAATTTTGTGGACTACACATTGTATAGGATAGGTTTTGGTCTAAAATGGAAGAAATTGATGAAGACTTGTATGACTTCTACTT